CTTTATGTTTATGTTATTCCAATTAATATAGCATCAAATCTTAGCTAATAATTCATATTTTAATAGTATATAAGTTTTAAGTTCTTATTTTTATTTGGCAGTATTTTAAAAAATCCTGAATTTCCCCTAGTGTGACACATTTTCTCTATGCATCTTCTCTTCTATATTTTAAAAGTTATAGTATTAACACTAAATACAAGGAAAAATGGTCCCATGGTTGGTCCATGGGATCAACCCCATATGGAGAGAGTTAAAGATAAAAATAATTATTTTCATCACAAAGGCTCAATCCATTTGAACAACCTTGTAATCACCACAAAAAATATTAAACAAACCTAAATTACCCTTTTTTCTTTCTATAATTACTACAGCTTGTAACAGAAAATTAGTCATCATATGCAGGCTCAGGCTCTTAACAGTTTACAACTGTTTTTCATATAATTTCATTGTTTTATCATTCTATGAACAATGTCAACTAATACAACTGCATAACAAAATAAAAAATTCTCCAGCGAGCACATAGCTCAAGTTAAAGTAAGAAAAAAAAATTAAATTACATAACACATGTGCAGCTCATGTGCATACTTCACTGAGAATTTTTTATTTCATTTTCTTTTTATATCTTCTTACCTGACCTAGCAAGTTTCAAATTTTTATACTTTAGTTACTTTTATATCAATAAATAACAAATATACATAATAAAACAAAAATTTAATACCATATGGTAAGACCTTTCATCCGTATACCATTGTCCTGAAGCCTCCTGCTGATCGACCCACATTTCCCAACTTTGGACATGAGCATCAAGGAAGAGAAACAAATTTGGATCAGGGGAAGGAATCAGTAAGCCCAATGACGTGGAGGATATGTTCAACCACCAATGCATATAGTTGAAGAGAGAAGGAGGAAAGTTAGAGGAGAATCCAAAGGAAGCCTAGCAAGAGACCATGGGTTGTGCAGCATCTCCTGAAAAGATCGCAAATATGCCGAGCCAAAGGGAGAAGTGCTTCCATAAAAGTCATGTCCCCCACTGCGTTAGGACCTCGCTAGCAATAAGATAGTGACTTTTAATGGTATGGATAACAGAAAACTCCATCGATTGCATTCATGGAGGAGAATGGATGCTCCAAATATCCAAGATTGTCAGGTAGGTAACAGGAAAAACTTATCCAACTGGAAAATTCAACCACCAGAGCTGCTTGTGTAAGGAGCAAATGAGTATGTTATACCACCCCCTATTCAGAAGGAGCTAACCAAAGCCAGATGTCTATAGTGGTGTTAGTAAAATCCCCAAAATGTGGAAGTCAGGTAAAACACAGACTACCTGATAAAAGACATATCGAACCGAAATTAGTCCAAAGGGCAACCCACAAAGCTGGTACCAAATCACATGGTGAAGAAAAACCTGAAATAGTGTCCTAAGAAATGATAAATATAATGTGTATCCTGGGCATTCTCTGCAGAAATTGCCCACCCAATTGTGATCAAATTCTATATATTAAAAATGGGGAAGAACCAAGAAGTGATTGAAGTGGGACCAAATGAAACAGAACTCCAATCAGTATTGAGCATACACAATGAATGGAGAAACCTTGGGTAGGGCAGGTAAAGGACGGTAAGGTGTTGGACATGGAACAGGAATAATAATGGCAATGACTCAGAATGAAACAAAAGAGCAACTAAAAAACAAAAAGAGTATAGCATCACAAATACACCAATTGGTGCTAAATGCATAGGAGGAGCCCAAAAAACAGACTGGTGGAGTAAAAGAGCTAATTGGAAGTCCTTACTAGATGTAGATGGTAAACAAATGGTACAAGACAGTGTCCCACCCCAGAAGATCCCAAAAGCAAAGATGCCACATGTGGAGGGAAAGAACTGAAGATGGCAAACACACCCATGAATATCCCCTAGATATAAGTGTAATGCCTAAGAAAGGAGGTGTAAGGTGTAGGAGAGTTGATAGGGTAAGACAAAGATGGCAAACTAGGTGGGAATAAAATGGATAGGATTAACAGAAACTGCCCCCATACAGGTGAAAGAAATGTTAAGTATGCAGAATCAAGAAAAAAAATCTGCCTGATGGTAGGCTAAGGCAAATTGAACCGAAGCCTGAGGAGGTTGAGGTATGCAAGTACCCTCTCCCAAAAGAAACATAATGTCTGAAGAAAGAGGAGAAAAGTACTCTGAAACATGTCTATAAAAAAACTGAGGTAGGCCTAGCAGATTCCTCAGTAGAGGTCTGGGAAGGCAAGCCATAATCAGGTGTAGGAAAACTGACAAAATATAGTTTGTACTAAATGGGTTCGGCAGTTATAGGAGGAAATCAAACAATATTGGGTTAAGGTAGGGCAGACCCAGCCCTGAGAGGTTCTCACAAACTAAACTAATTGTAAGAAGTATAAATTATTAAGAATTACAAAAATGAAATAGCCAATATAATATAAATTGAAGTAAGTATGTAGTGAAATAAACATATGTATAAGATGTTATTGAACCTAATTATAGATTTACCTGTAAGATAAACTACGGACACTTGTTAAGCCTAATCAAACTGTGCAGGATAAAGTATATCACAAAGCTGTAATTTAAAAACTCTAACCTTACGATAATACGCATAATACTGGGAGAAGTTTGTGTAGATCCCAGCTCCAGGGGTACACACAAACAAAGTTAATATGAAGAAGTATAAAAGACAGATAATAACGAAAATGAAAATAGATGTTATATTGTTAAATTAAGTAATTTGTATTGATTATAACATGTGTATGAAATGGGATGTTTTGAAGAAAAAAACAATATAGTTAACCTAATTTATGATAAACCAGTAAATGAATTGCAGGTAATCCTAAAATAACAAAGACCCATGTTAAGCCTAATTTAACATTAAGTACAAACGATACAACTAAGCTCTAATTTCAAAACTGAATGTAACTATGAGCATTGCTCAATTTAACTAAACTTATGTTATTGAACCCAAATAACTACAGATAATAGTATAAACAGTAAAAATATTCAAAACCATAACAGTTTAAGTTACTATAATGCCTTATCTTTCCAAAGTTGGCAGCCCATATTTAAAAATGTATGGGTCCCAAAACTCGAATTGAGGCCAGACAAAGATCAGTTCATTGGACGACCAATCTCCCAAAGAAGTAAAGCTGATAATTCCCTGAAGACTGTATAAAAATGTGCTGATAAAAGATATAACCTCCGAAGTGGTAACCGAGAATTTGGAGTTCATATTCAAAATGATTTGTAATGAAGTATTAAGTTCCGTAACTGGATAGAAACATAAAATAATCCCACTTTGGAATAAGTTACAGATATCACTATTGTACAAAAAATAGTAAAGTTCGTGAGTAAAATTGATACGGAGATACGAAAAAAAAAACTTGAAAAGAACACAAACTAAACATGAACACTGGCAAATAAGAAGAGATAGTTTAGTAGAATAGCATAGAGGGAGTCACATGAGTCATGTGGGTGTGTGGCATTACTATTGGTGGAGGTTTATTGCATGATAATTTGCATGTGAATTGAGATGTGAATGGGAGTGAAAGGCTCGTGGCATGTGAAAAAATCTTTGCAAATATAGGACAACAGTGAACAAGAATAGCTATGTATGTGAGCAGAATTTAAGTATTTCCTTTTTAAATTACAGCTCATTTCATTTATTAACTACATGTAAATGTCAAGTTTATGGATAATAGACTTGCTTAATTAAATTTTGAATGTAATTCTGTAAAATACTGTGACCTGTACACTTTGATGCCCACCTGTACACATAGGGTTAAAGTTAATTTTTTGCTAAAGGACAAGCTTGATGTATGGAGGAGAGAGGAAAAGCATGGCACATAAACATGCTGACTGTATGTTATGTTAATCTATAACTACAATCCCTTAAAAACATACAGATTATTTTGTTGTATGAACTGTTTAGACTTGACTGATTAATATAGGTATACAGATTGGTAGTGTCAGCTGATTACAAATATTTCACTACTGCAGATGATACAAGATGTAAGTTAATAGTGTGAGGTACAGATAGCTAACTGATTAGCCTTAGCCTACTCAAGACATAGAGATAGATTGGATTTGTCAATGTATTATTAATGCCTTATTACTATATATATATACGAAAAGTGATAGATCAGTTAGTTCAGCTTATGTTAACTAAGTGATTACTGCAGACAACTTAAAACTAACACATACCAATAGCCTAATGGTATCAGCTGCGGATAAATAACTGTCTATTACATACAGCTAAAGATGTACTGATATGCTGGTACTGATTATTAGAGACTAGTGAAGATATACTGCAAAGTTAGTGTTAGTGGAGTATAAAAGAGATTACTACAAACTCTAGAAGGTAAATTGATAAGTCTGTAGTGCCAGCTGATGAAAGAAGTCTGAATACTACAGAATACACAAAATATGCTAACAGACTGTTATTTTCAGATGAAGATAGATGACTGATTACTACTACTCACATGTAGAGAGATACTGAAAGGTTGCTAATGCCAACTGAGGAGATATGATGTTCTTTCCTTGTTGACCTTCTCCTATCTTAGCAAAGTCTGAGAAATCCTGCTTCACCTGAGCATCCTTACGCCGTTGCTTACATCGATTATCAGCTAAGGTAAGTATCATTAAAGAAATTTAGTCAAAAATATTGATTTAACATAAATGGAAATATACAATGAGTGTGTTACTTATATTATTCATACAAAGAAACACAAAATAGTTTAGTTTTATTATTACACAGATAAAAATTGGAAACATGTCATGATAAAGTCATCAGTGATATGAAATAACAGGAATTACAATTAAAAACAGTTAAAAAAATATTTAAACAGTTTCACAAAATATTTTTTAAGAATTGATTTAAACTGACAGAATGAGATAAATAATAATGTGTAGTACAAACTATTTACAACTTTGGAATCAATATGATTTAAACATATGGCATAACCCGACCTTTTACTAATCATATAATGAAATATACCAGAGTTACTACCTAACACTGAATGTAAATTAATGTTGACTTAACAACATCTTCATAATTTATTACATATATATTTATTATAAGGTTTATGTTTTCAATACAGTAAGGTCAATTAACAACATGTATTTAATGTTTGTTACTTAGAGACCAAGGAATTGTGAAGACATACAGTATTATTAAAAGAAAACCAAATACTTTCATTTAAAAAAAAAATAATTGCCCTTGAGAAACAATATTCTACCAGAGGAACACTGAGAATCATAAGTTTTATTAAGAAAAGTTTGGACATGGTACAGGATGTCTCAAAACCTGTCATAGAAGATGTTTAATATACTTTATTACATTCTCAGTCAGTATATTAAACATATTCCTAAATAAAGCTGTTGCAAACATAAATTGCTCTAGACACTTATTCCAACACTAAAGAAAATGAATGAAGAGAAACAAAATGATGCTACTTTGCAAGAAAAGCAATTTAGGTATGGAGTGTAATATGATTTTCTTAGACCTTGTACTATGCTCAAATGTTATTGAATAAAATTTGTAATTATCAACCTGCCTCTGGAGAAATTTGGTTCCCCTAGGACAAGCAGTTTTTAAGGCATAATAATTTTAAATAAAAGGGTTTTCTTTATAACTATTCAGTTTATTTTTCCATGTTTTGAGTTGTGTTTGCTCTTCATATAGATGAAACCTATACCTATAGTTGTTAGGAACTAAAATCACCTATTATTCATTGTTAAATTCCGTGTGCCAATTTTTAATCTTTTAGAATAAAATGAAGTTAAACATGCAATTACCTTTGAAACACTGAAAGCCTTTCCTTTCTGAGTTTATTCTCATATTGTAAAGAATCAAATTACTCAAAGTTCTAGATGCTAATGATGCAATGCAGAGCAAGTATCACTTACCCACAATCTTCCACTCTTGACCTTACATGTGACTTATTGTGTACATACTGGGAGATCTCACATAAGCTATACTGTCACACCATAATTTAGATTTTCTTTTGAAAGTCATGCTCTTAACTTCTCTCACTATTAATGAATTCTGATGTCAACTTTAGCTATTGCTGCAAATGGCTCTACCAATATAAGAAGTTTACAACTACTTTGATGCCTTACTCACATAGGCTGCCTGTAGTGTCCAGGGAGATCCCATGGTTACATTGTCAGCCATACTGATTATATATTCTCCTTGCCTATTGGTGTAATTGGGTTTCAGATTCATGTAGATGATCATTTGCAAATCTCTCACCCTTTTTCTCATGATGCTGAAATACAAAAATTCTCATGATTTTGAAAAAACAATCTGTTACTCAGCCGTATTGAACTTTATTATTTGCAGAACAGGATTTGACTGCTAGCCATAATTATGAAGATGCTTCACCTTGTTGAATTTCTCTTTTTTCTCAAGTATATTCTATTTTAAATCTTGAACTCATTTCTCTTATGTCTGAGGTTGCTATGTGAGAAAGGATGCTTCAATTCTTGAATCTTTATGTTTTCCACCTTCTCCTGATTTTTGGGTTATTACCGAGGTTCCTAGAAATGATATATCCTTAGATTTTTTTATTCTTGCTCGTTGCTTTTTACTTTGACCTATTGCCAGTTTTCTGCTTTACACAAGTTATGATTTGTCTCATCTTTTGATTTTCTTCTTCAGAGTAATTATTAGCTATCAGCTACTCTTGTTCTCCTGAATCCTGTAGCCAGGATTGCATTTTTAGGTTGCAGTCTATCTTATATATCTGTGGCTCTCACTGATATAGTTTCAATTACCATGTTACTCTTAATGTTCCTTTGAAACTTTAGCCCACAGTGCTGTCTTTCAAATATTCATTTCTCTACTGTCCCAATTTTTCAGCAATTTAAAGACAGTACAATAGGGACATCAAAATAAAATATAAAACAAATAAATAAATAAAAATGTATGTATTCCTTATCTTTAATAGAGTTATGATACATCTATTGAGAATGGGCATCACCCCTCATATCTCTAATCCCATGCAAGATGTGCATGTAGAGATGGAAAAGGTACCCATTGCTTCATCATCAGCCAACAGATGTCATTCCCTATCCATTTCCAGAAGGTGCGATGAATTTTGAATAAAAACCCAAAACACAGGCACTTTCGAACCAACTATTTTTAAGTGCTCGAACTGGAGGTCATTTTTTTATTATTTTGTGTATGATCCCGTGCGATAGCTCTTTTATTAACTTCCACAAGGTATCACCCTCTCGTGTAACACCAGCAAAGAGGGTAGAATGTTGTCTTGGAAAACTGCTGAAGTACATGTAACATACTAAGAGTCCAAAATAAACATATCAATTGAAACATGATGTCACATATTATAAGGTTACCATGTATTATTTTCTTTTTACTTAATCAAGTGATTCCATGATCCCAGAAGCTCTACAAATATTCAAAGGGATGTTGGGTATTACCATGATGCACAACAGACATGTGAGACCAAGTATTAACTAAGCAGGTAACAGAGAATAACTAACCGGCTAGAGATTCCATCTGGCTTGAAGAATCACAACTAGGGATAAAATGTAAATAAAATTTTAAAAATATATTATATTTTTCTCATATTTTAACTCATAGAATATCCTCTAAAGCACATTGCAACTGAGATGCCAAAGATATTGCCAAATACTGAATTTTGACGAGTTGTAACCCAAAGTTCATTTTAAAAATATATGGGAACATTCTAGTAAACAAGATGGAGTAATTGCACAAGCCAGTTTGTTAAAGTAGTCACAGCAAGATCTGAAGAGTGTGATTCATTGTAACATATAAACAACCCTTTCTAGACCATTTGAAAGATTAATTATGTTAGATGTAACAACAAATCACTCAGAAAGGACCTAAGAGAAATTCTGAACAAGAATCAGAAACAGCCAAGGTCTGTAACACAAAAGAGAAAAACAGTAGTTATCTTTTCTTCCAGCCCAAGTTTTAGGTAGCAAAACATAAGAAAATAAGATATGAGAAACATTGAAGGCATAGATGCCAGTAATAATAATAATATAAAAAAATCTTCAACTATAAGCAGTTTGGAACTGAACAACAACCATCATAGGCAAATAATATGATGGCAACTATATATGCCCAGCAAAATGAAATACCCATAATAAGATTTTTATAGAGGAAAAAATGATCTTTCTATTAGTTATAAACATGTCTATCAAATAAGTAAACATGATTTAAATAACTTCCTTGAAGGAAGTTATGATAAGATGGGAGGAGCATCTCTGATGGGTTTAACAAATTTATTGATATCTCAACAAATCAGGAAGGAAGGAGGCTTAACTTTTATATTCTAGCCAGTCATTATGTGGTTTTTGTTTAACATTAGTAGGAGACTCTGAAGGCAGATGACAATAATGAATATCATTGTGTTTAAATTTGGCCAGAAACCGTATGTTGAATATTTGAAACTGTTTATCATAGCTTATTCTCTTAAACAAAAGGGCATCATCAATAGCCATGCTGTAATTATATCTCAAATCGGCCAACAGATGAAGTTATGAGATAAAAGTTTGTATTTGAAAACACAAACAAACTCAGAGCCACTGTATGAGCCGCTATGGCGTGGTTAAAATTAAAACTAAAAATCCAAAGAAAGAGAATATACAAGAAAGGATTCATAGAACAAGACATATCACTTGACACACAGAAGTGACAGTTGAGAGTTTATTTAATTATTTTCTCTCAGGTATTAAACTTTAGGTAATATAAAACAATTTGAGTTATAAACTATGGTTTGCAGCCAGATTTATTGACATGAATTGATAATAAACTTGTGTAATTACATTTTGAATATAACTTTGTGTAAAGGTTGTGAAGTGTGCACTTTCACCTTACTGTTTTGCTAGTTTCTAAATTTAAAACATCAGCAACAACTTAAGTATCATGAGAAGGTGGAAGAAATAAGTATCCAATACTGAATCATCTAAAATGACACTAGCACCCTAAGGTGTAACAGAAACTGGATGAAAATTTAGAACAAAACATACCTGAGAGAAAATAAAAATGAGACCACCAGAAGCTTCTAGCAGACAAACCTACTCTGCAATGTTGAAGGCAAAGTGTCCTGGGCAAAAGATTGATCTTGTTCAAAATCATAAGAAAATGGTGAATGTTACAGAAATTAAGCATCTAAATGATCCTGAAAACTGGCAGGGACAACAGCAGACATTCCACCAATAACAGCTCAATGATTGCTATGCATGCTAGAAGCACACTACATGAATATAGCCTTCAAAGAAGTTGTAGATCTGATGTTATTGGAAATATTTGCATAAGAATTAACACTGACTTCCCAATTCATCATAGAAATTTAACAGTATAAATGTCAACAAAAAATTCTGAATTACAGAGGCACAATAAGTTACATGGAAGGATGGAGAACTACAAACAAACATAAACATACAATTTAAGAACAACAAGGGATCTGTTGTTCCATCCCATCCATTAAACTAAACAAAAACACTCAGAGCCAACCCTTATCATTCAAATATGTATAAAGCCTTCTCTGAAACTCCTTTAAATTTACTGCATCCACCAATATGAAGGTAACACTTTCCAAAGTCAAACAACCCTACTAGACAAATAAAACTCTCTTAGATAAGTATGACTCTTATCCAGCCAAAATTTACATTTTTGTCCCACAGTGTTACCATTTTCACCTTAAGTTCAAAAAATGACGATCCACCAATACTGACAATTCCACTCGTGATCTTAAACACCTCAATAACATCCCCTCTAACCCTTTCTTTTTTCAACTATGGGTAAGTTGATACATGCTCTGAATTGTGTCAAGGACATTCAGAGCTTTAGTGACATATTTAATGAAAGTGTGTGAGCAACTCAAGAAGTATAGGCATTTTGTATTAAAATAAGTATGTATGTATTTGTATGTCTGCTTGTTTTAAATGTAACTTTCAATATGTTTTCTAAAATTGATTGTAATAATCTAATGTTAGAGAAAGAAATATCTATACACACACATAAATGCTGTGGTTAAAGAAATCAGTTTCCTTAACTAGATTTATCAGCATAGATCTAACTACAGTTTTTATAGGGCATTATATCATCACAAGATTGCCAAAGATAAAACTCTTTTTGAAATATATAATTCCTTTATTCCAAACTTTTTGTGCAGAGAAATAATGGATAATATCTGAAAATGTAAACTGTAATTATTAATAAAAACTTCTAAGTGAAAGTGAAAAAGCCTGTCATAATAATAATAATATGCAAACCACACTGTATCTGGTACTTTCATCAATTTCAGCCTTGAATTCTTTTTAGCACTAATCAAAGCTTGGTTTTCTAAAACACAAGTAAATATCAAATCAGAAATGCTTGCTTGAAGAAAGGTTTTAGTGTTACTAAAGATTCCTCAAATCAATAGTTCATCAAATGTTGATTGCTTTTTAACTGAAACTGAATGGTCAAAAAATTTGAAAGGATTGTTTTAAGCATAACTGTGATCCATAAAACATTTCTCTACAAAAATGGTAAGTCCTGAGCTTTAATCTTGACAACAAGTAGATATAAAAATTCAGAGTTCTTATCCAGTAGGGAACTTGAAAATCATTTTAAGCTTGTATGTTCTGGCTATAAGAATAGATCACTGGTTAAAAATCCATGAAAGATTTACCTTCTTACAACTAAAGATTAACTGCATTGACATACATAAAATATTTTACACAGATATATAATTGAGTGCATACAGATCCTAACTGCCAGGGAATGCCACATTTAAAAAATTACTTAAGTGATGTTATCTTGTAAAAAACTTGGCTGAATATGTATGTTTGAAAAACACACACTCCTGTTTTTTGCAGTTAAGCATGGCAGTAAAAAAATATATTGGTACAAACTTTACACAATATCTTTGTTATCAGAAAATTCCAACCTTGTTTCTTTCATTAGGAAACATTGGTCTATCACTTACTGTTCAATCACCGGTTTTTGAAAGTCTAAGTACAGATACTAAGCATTTAAAATTTTAATTTACACTGGTCTACTAGTGTTTCACATATCTTAGCACTTTTCAGTAAGTGAGCATTCCTAAAAGAAAAACAAAATGTAGTATATATACACAATATTAACAATATTTCAACAATGGAAATGCTAAATTTGCATGACTATTTAAACATAAAACTAAAAGCAACTCTAAACATAAATAAATAATAATAATAAAAATATCACCAAGATATCTTATTTAAGATGGTATATACCATAAAAGCTTATTTAGGAAGATGTAGTATGCAATTAATATTAAAACTCAATCATCTTTCTAGTTTTAAAGTCTTGCACATGTATTGTAAGTTAAAAAAAAAACTTTCACCAACAACAAAGTGATTTCATGTGACAGGATTCAATTCACAAGACAAAAACTCACACACTGTGTCTGTTTCATCAACAATTTCTGATTGAATAATTTCTTCTATGACATCTTCCAGAGTTACCACACCAAGGATAACATAGAATGGATCTCCCTCACCTTCATTGTTAACATAACGAACAAATGCCATGTGGGAACGACCTGTGTTAAGACAAATTACAAAAGAAACATATGACTAGAAATTTCATCCATTTCAAAAACTAACATATAACTGTCTTGTTAATTGCATAACAGATCTAAAATAAAACTGTGCTGAATTAAAAGCTAATTTAAATGATAGGTAACCAAATTTAATCTAAGCAAATTGAGACAACATTAAACATAATAACAGAGAAAAAATCTTAAGGATTTGTAAGAAAACAAAAGAATTAAAATATCAAAGTCTGATAGCAAAATTAAAAGGAATTATTTTATCTTTAGGAAACGTTGAATCAAATACTGAAACTAACAAAACATGAGCATTTATAAACAAAGCATATATAGTCTTAAACAAAGCAACTATTAGTTGAATAATTTTTCAACACCTGATTTGTGTTTGAGTTTTTCATTATAGCATAGATGATTCCTAAATTACTAGGCTGCTAGTTTATCTAACCTATGTAAAAGCCAATGTGTGTCACATCACATCTGATTTTTCAAAATAGGAGGAGTAATAAAAGCCAAAATGCATTTATCCAGATAGAATAGTTCGATTACTGTCTCCCCATTATGATTTTAGTGACAAGAGTGCAAAGGGATCATGAGGTGGGGGGTTGCTGTGAAACCTTATAAGTGTAGTGAGTATTGGTATAATAAGCCTAAAGTAAACATGTAGTGTGGGATCACCTACAATAGAGACAAGTGCATAAAATTTATCATGAAAGTAAAAATATCGATTCAATTTTAAACCAAAATTGTTTCTGAATTAAGCTATTTTCTGTTATATCACCAATGTTTTTAATAAAAAAATAAACCTTTTTAATCAATGGAAACTCTAAGTTAAGAAATCAACAAATATTTTTCCAGTTTTGTACAGACACTCATTTTATACTTTCAGTACACAGAATAACAAAAATATTACTTCACACTTTTGTTGCACAGCAGCATGACATAAAAGCCATTGTTGGAATGTAGTGTTACCAAAATGCACTGGCTTTTCTATATATTAGAAGTTGTTCATCTAACTGATTTTTATCAATAATTATTCTATGAATATGCCACGAATTGATTTCATGAATGATCTTAATTTTGATTGGCTCACAAAGGAATTTGCCAACGTTTGACTGCTTTGATTGTACTCTTCTGCCTCTTTGTTATTCAAGCTTGGTTCCCCAAAATGTATTTATTTCAGTTAGCTATGAAATGTGAGGTTAGGGTATACAATATTGAACTATAACAAATACAGGAGGAAATTGCTATGCACCAACAGTTCATTTACAAAAGTAGAACCCATAATCTCAAGCAAAACACAAAAACCAACGAACATAATAAAAGTACATGCACATGAAACACAGGATGTCCAGAGTCTAATATCTAATGGTATTATTCTATGATATCAGAGATTTGGGGTTTAGGAATCAAAAACACCTACACGGACATGTGGTGGCAGCCTGCAGACCTCTTCAACATAGTGGGCTGCAGTGGAGATCACCATAACACAAACTGTCCAAAAGAATATGAAACCCTTATTGCTGAAATTGTAAACAGCAGCTTACAGTTTTTTTTTTTTTGTTTGTTTGTTTGAAGTTAAGCACAAAGCTACACAATGGGCTATCTATGCTTTGCCCACCATGGGTATCGAAACCCGGTTTCTATCATTGTAAGTCTGCAGACATACTGGGGGAGTAATAAAAACAAGAATATATAACATATGCCATAGTTTTACACAAACAGCTACACAAAACACACAACAAACACCTACAAAAACACCACTCCTCCAGACACCATGCCACAGCAGTTCGAAATCAACCACACAGTAAACAAATATCTCATTCAAGCAAACAAACTCAACTACAAACAAAAACTAACACTGAATCACAACCAAATAATACTAACGATCAAGTAACTACACAACCACAAAACAAATCGCATGCAGATCAACCAAAAACATCCACAACTTCAATCATTAATACAGAATATAACCACACAATGGAAGCTTCTAAAACACCTTTGTCGACTTCATCACTAAATATCAAAACCATTAAACAGTCAAGATTGCATTACCTTACTCATCACGATAACAAAGAAACATTTCACACCAATAATACCATACATAATACAACAACACATGGGCTCCTTTTTCGCCTAAAGTTCACAGTACAACACGTCAATATTCAAGGTGGTCTTGCTTCCAAGGGCAAGAGGCACAAGATCGAAAACATAATCTCACAAATGCAAACATATTGGTAATCACAGAAACTATGTTATAATTCTAATACACTCAAATGTTCTGGATATACGCCAATCAGAATAGATCGTTTGTTTGTTTTGAATTTTGCGCAAAGCTACATGACGGCTATCTGTGTTAGCCATCCCTAATTTAGCAGTGTAAGACTAGAGGGAAAGCAGTTAGTCATCACCTCCCACCACCAACTCTTGGGCTACTCTTTTACCAACCAACAGTGCGATTGATTGTCACATTATAATGACCCCACGGCTGAAAGGGCGAGCATGTTTGGTGGGGTGAGGATTTGAACCCACGACCCGCATATTGCGAGTCAAGTGCCTTAACCACCTGGCCATGCCAGAAAAAATTGATTAAATAAAAATGACTGATAGAGACATAACATTAATTTATAACTCAATCTTATCAGTCTAATCTTATCAGCGACTCATGAATGTATAGCTGTGCCAGCTCTTGCAGGCTCTCTCCTTTAGCACGGACTCTAGTCCTAAACCTAGCCCTGTAGACTTCAGACTGATTTTGAGTTCCATA